GAATAACCGTCTCGCATCAAACACGATCCAGATATAATGTTCATGCTCAACGCTGGCACCAAATAACAATTATTCAGGTCTAAAACTAATCCCAAAGGTAGATGTAGAGGTAGCGTGCCGACCGCGATCACATCGACTTTGGAACCGTTTCCCACGCGCATCGTCACCTCGTCCTTGGCCAGTGCTCGCTTATTCCGTAGTCCCTGTTTCGAGTTGCAAATATTAGCAACAGAACCAATATCAAATACCCAGGTGCTACTACGAGCTCTAGTTAGGTACACATCAATAACATGTATATCACATATACCTTTGTTCACTTTGCCATCCTTCTTATCCGCCAAATACTTGGGGCAGTTCCGCTTCCAGTGACCAGTCTGCTTGCAGTAGAAGCACTCAGTTTCAGGCTTAGGTCCAGACTTGGGTTTCTTCTCTTGAGCAGCAACTTGCTTGCTGTTCTTCTTAAAGTTCCCCTTCTTCCCTTTGCCCTTTTTCTTGAATCTAGTGGTCTTGTTGACCATCAACACTTGATACTCCTTCTTGATTTCTACCTCCGCAGCTTTTAGCATTGCGAAGAGCTCGGAAATAGTCTTGTTCATCCTTTGCATATTATAGTTCATCACAAAGCTCTTGTAGCTTGGTGGCAGTGATTGGAGAATTCTGTCAATGACGCTATCATCCGGAAGATTAACTCCCAGTTGAATCAAGTGATTATTATACCCAGACATTTTGAGTATATGCTCACTAACAGAACTATTCTCCTACATCTTGCAGTTGTAGAACTTATTGGAGACTTCATATCTCTCAATCCGGGCATTTGCTTGAAATGTTAACTTCAACTCCTGGAACATCTCATATGCTCCATGACGTTCAAAACGTCGTTGAAGACCCGGTTCTAAGCCGTAAAGCATGGCACACTGAACTATAGAGTAGTCATCAGCTTTGCTCTGCCAGACGTTCTTAACGTCGTCAGTTGCATCAGCAGCAGGTCTGGCACCCAGCAGTGCTTCCAGGACGTAACTTTTCTGTGCAATAATGAGGATAATCCTCAGGTTACGGACCCAGTCCGTGTAATTGCTACCATCATCTTTCAACTTTGCTTTCTCAAGGAACGCATTAAAATTCAACGGAACAACAGCACGAGCCATCTATCTACAAACAAACATAGACAAGCAAAATACTATCAGGTACTAAGTTCATGATAAATTTAGGTTCAATTAATCATATTACTTAAGAACTCCCACTTAGACAGACATCTCTCTAGTCATCTAAGTGATCACGTGATCCAAATCAACTAAACCATAACCGATCATCACGTGAGATGGAGTAGTTTTCAATGGTGAACATCACTATGTTGATCATATCTACTATATGATTCACGCTCGACCTTTCGGTCTCCATGTTCCGAGGCCATATCTGTATATGCTAGGCTCGTCAAGTTTAGCCTGAGTATTCCGCGTGTGCAAAACTGTCTTGCACCCGTTGTAGATGGACGTAGAGCTTATCACACCCGATCATCACGTAGTGTCTGGGCACGATGAACTTTGGCAACGGTGCATACTCAGGGAGAACACTTCTTGATAATTTTAGTGAGAGATCATCTTAAAATGCTACCGTCAATCAGAGCAAGATAAGATGCATAAAGGATAAACATCACATGCAATCAATATAAGTGATATGATATGGCCATCATCATCTTGTGCTTGTGATCTCCATCTCCGAAGCATCGTCATGATCATCATCGTCACCGGCACGACACCTTGATCTTCATCGTAGTATCGTTGTCGTCTCGCCAACTATTGCTTCTACGACTATCGCTACCGCTTAGTGATAAAGTAAAGCAATTACAGGGCGTTTGCATTTCATACAATAAAGCGACAACCATATGGCTCCTGCCAGTTGCCGATAACTTCGGTTACAAAACATGATCATCTCATACAATAAAATATAGTATCACGTCTTGACCATATCACATCACAACATGCCCTGCAAAAACAAGTTAGACGTCCTCTACTTTGTTGTTGCAAATTTTACGTGGCTGCTACGGGCTTAGTAAGAATCGTTCTTACCTACGCATCAAAAACCACAACGATAGTTTGTCAAGTTGGTGCTGTTTTAACCTTCGCAAGGACCGGGCGTAGCCACACTCGATTCAGCTAAAATGAGAGAGACAGACACCAGCCGGTCACCTTTAAGCAACGAGTGCTTGTAGCGGTGAAACCAGTCTCGCGTAAGCGTACGCGTAATGTCGGTCCGGGCCGCTTCATCTCACAATACCGCCGAACCAAAGTATGACATGCTGGTAAGCAGTATGACTTGTATCGCCCACAACTCACTTGTGTTCTACTCGTGCATATGACATCTACGCATAAAACCAGGCTCGGATGCCACCGTTGAAGAACATAGTAATTTCAAAAAAATTCCTACGCACACGCAAGATCATGGTGATGGCATAGCAACGAGAGGGGAGAGTGTTCGTCCACGTGCCCTCGTAGACCGTAAGCGGAAGCGTTATGACAACGCGGTTGATGTAGTCGTACGTCTTCACGATCCGACCGATCCAAGTACCGAACGTACGGCACCTCCGAGTTCAGCACACGTTCAGCTCGATGACGATCTCCGGGCTCCGATCCAGCAAAGCTTCGGGGAAGAGTTCCGTCAGCACGACGGCGTGGTGACGATGATGATGTTCTACCGGCACAGGGCTTCGCCTAAACTCCGCGACGATATGACCGAGGTGGAATATGGTGGAGGGGGGCACCGCACACGGCTAAGGAACGATCCGTAGATCAACTTGTGTGTCTTTGGGGTGCTCCCTGCCCCCGTATATAAAGGAGGAAGGGGGGAGGCCGGCCGGCCCTTGTTGGGCGCGCCAGGAGGAGGAGTCCTCCTCCTAGTAGGAGTAGGACTCCTCCTTTCCTACTCCTACTAGGAGGGGAAGGAAGGGGGAGAGGAGGGGAAGGAAAGAGGGGGGCGCCGCCCCCCCTTCCTAGTCCAATTCGGACCAGAGGGAGAGGGGGCGCGCGGCCCTTCCTGGCCGCCCCTCTCTCTTCCCACTAAGGCCCATGTGGCCCATTAACTCTCCGGGGGGGGGGGTTCCGGTAACCCTCCGGCACTCCGGTTTTCTCCGAAATCACCCGGAACACTTCCGGTGTCCGAATATAGTCGTCCAATATATCAATCTTTATGTCTCGACCATTTCGAGACTCCTCATCATGTCCGTGATCACATCCGGGACTCCGAACAAACTTCGGTACATCAAAACTTGTAAACTCATAATAAAACTGTCATCGTAACGTTAAGCGTGCGGACCCTACGGGTTCGAGAACTATGTAGACATGACCTAGAACTATTCTCGGTCAATAACGAATAGCGGAACCTGGATGCCCATATTGGTTCCTACATATTCTACGAAGATCTTTATCGGTCAAACCGCATAACAACATACGTTGTTCCCTTTGTCATCGGTATGTTACTTGCCCGAGATTTGATCATTGGTATCCAATACCTAGTTCAATCTCGTTACCGGCAAGTCTCTTTACTCGTTCTGTAATACATCATCTTATAACTAACTCATTAGTTACAATGCTTGCAAGGCTTAGGTGATGAGTATTACCGAGAGGGCCCAGAGATACCTCTCCGACAATCGGAGTGACAAAACCTAATCTCGAATTATGCCAACCCAACATGCACCTTCGGAAACACCTGTAGAGCACCTTTATAATCACCCAGTTACGTTGTGACGTTTGGTAGCGCACAAAGTGTTCTTCCGGTAAACGTGAGTTGCACAATCTCATAGTTGCAGGAACTTTGTATAAGTCATGAAGAAAGCAATAGCAACATACTAAATGATCAAGTGCTAGGCTAACGGAATAGGTCATGTCAATCACATCATTCTCCTAATGATGTGATCCCGTTAATCAAATGACAACTCTTTTGTCCATGGCTAGGAAACTTAACCATCTTTGATTCACGAGCTAGTCAAGTAGAGGCATACTAGTGACACTATGTTTGTCTATGTATTCACACATGTATCATGTTTCCGGTTAATACAATTCTAGCATGAATAATAAACATTTATCATGATATGAGGAAATAAATAATAACTTTATTATTGCCTCTAGGGCATATTTCCTTCAAGGGGTTGTAGACTTAGACGAGCATGGGCTATGCCATATGTGGTCGGTGGAAGTGAGCCCTCTCCTCTCCTTGAATTTTATTACTATGATTATAATTTATATCCTTTTTAAAAATTTCTAAAAAAAGACTAACTTATGGGAAATGGGTCGGACCGACTGCAATCAATTATTATATTTCATAAATTAATTATATGGATGTAATTAAAGTTAACAAGTGATTTTTTCTGAAATTACACGAACATTTCTGAAATTTATTTTATTTTTATGTATATATTTATAAGGTATGATTATAATTTACATACAGAAAGATTAATTATCATTTATAGGCATGAAACGGTCTCGGTTAAGTGGCAGGCTTTCACTTTGAATGAAATTCTTATTCACTATTTCACTCCATAAGGATATAAAGAAGCAGTATCCATAATGAGAGAGAGAGAGAGAGATTGCTTTGGTTCGTTTCTCTCCCTACAATCGAATCTTCCCTTTCTCACTTCTACGCGACACATCAATAATTATTAGACAACAAACCGTAATGGTTGGCATGGCTACGCACGCTCGCAAAAATATAGAGGGTCACACAAAAAGAAAAACAGCCCCAAGCCTCGCTTGGCGCCTAGTCATCCTTGATTTCGTAGCCGGCGGTGATTAGCACTGTATTACCACGCTCACTAGTTGGATGTGAGCCGCAAGTTTTAGTACTAAAATGATCATTTCGGTCAAGTTTAAGTACCAATGATGTAATTGACTTTTTATTTTATTTCAGGGAGGTGATCATATATGAGGTACATCGATCAACTCCTATTCACATTACACTTATGCGAGTGAGAGAGGAACATCATGCACTCACTCCCTACTGCAAATTATTTAGTTGTTTGCAACCACTGCACGCGCCTCTAGTTCGGCGTCGGCCTCAGCATTGATCCTGACATTGAGGAAGTCGACGGTGCGATCTCCCGCTGCAAACGCATCCCAATATCCATCGGCCAAGGTCTGGACCAGGCACTTCTTAAACATGGCCGGGCGCTTCTCGTGAACCAGCACCCCCGGCGGCCCTATGATCCTCTCCGGCTCCGGCTGGTAGAACATCGCCAGTGACAGCCTCTCCTTATCGGCGCTCGTCACCACGCGGTGCCATGGCGCCTTGAAGATTGCATTGCTGACGATCTGTATGCACAGAAATGAGAGTCTCGTTCATGATCAATGCAAATAATCGCAGAAGTCCTTAAGTAATTGTGTGTGTATATGCATACCTCCATGCCCTCGCCTACGACGACCAACAGGTCATTACCGAGCACGGGGACATCAACCCAGTGGCCGTCCTTGAGCACCTGGAGGCCGCCGACGTCCTTGTCCATGAGGAGGAGTGTGATGACGGAGTTGTCGGTGTGCGGCTTCAGCCCGTTCACGAGGTCCGGTCGTGGGCAGGGAGGGTAGTAGGTGAACCTCGAGTATGACTTGAACCTCTCACCCACCATGTTGATGAAGAAGTTCTCCTCCTGGTTCAGAAGCTTTGCCATGGCCTTCAGCACATCCATGGTCACTCTCCCACTCTCTAAGGTGTACTCGTGTAGGGGATCCCTGCAAATTGAATTGTATATGATCTCCGATATAAATGCACACAAAAGAAAGATTTCCAATCGTTGAGAGCAACAATTTATGTGTAGATCGTGTAGGAGATCCCTGCAGATTATATATGATCTCCAATATAAATGCAAATAAAAAAGGATTTTAAATCACCGAGGGCAACAATGTGTAGGTCGAGTACCTTAGATTCTGTGGCCAGAACTGGAGCCGCCTCTCGTCCTCCGGCTGGAGCTGGAGCCAGAGCCGGTCACACCAGTCGAGGATCTGCTCGTCGGAGTCGATGCGGTCGATGCCGTACCCTTCATTCTGGAACATGATGCCGTCGATCACATTGCCGCACTTCAGCTTCTCCTCCAGCGGCAGGTGGAAGAACTTCCTCGACGCCTCAAGGATCTCGTCCAGGAACTCCTTTGGCATGCCATGGCCGGTCACCACAAAGAGGCCCCATGACTGGAGCGCAGAGCGAAGCTTGGCCGCCTCCTCAACATCATCGGGCTTGGCCAGACGGCTCACGTCCACGATGGGGATGACCAGCTTGGCTTGCTGTTCGACGGTGGTCGGCCGGTTCTCCTCGCTTAGCACGTACCTGCTCGGCGGCGCCACAAGTCCAACGTCCACGGCCACCACCTGCACCAGCTTTCCCTGATCCTGATGAACCATCTTGACGCTAGAATAGGTCTTCTAAACCAAGTGCATGCACTCTTTCCTTTGGCAGCCTATATATATAGGCTTCAGGTGTGCGCCTATTTCAACGTTATCTATCTAGTATTTGGAGGCCACTGGGTTATCATATCCATGCTAATATAAGCCCATATCTACATCCAATAGATCTGACCCGTGCATCCACGTCGATCGACCGATGTATGTTGCTTTGAATCTTGGCACCGAATTAATTGCCTTAGGTTCTTCGTATCTAGAAAAATCTAAGACAATTAATTTAGAACAAAGGCAATATTATAGATAGATATTTGGATATAGGTATGGACGAAGAAAGAGCGGAACGGAAACCTCGTGTCCTTTTGAAGTGGTATATATAAATATATAGATATAGGTATGGATATGGATATACAGATATAGATAGATAAATAGATAGATAGATAGATAGATAGATAGATAGATAGATGTAGATATAGATAGAGAGAAAGTCAATAAGATGTGGGACGGTTGAGGTGTTTTCAGAGAAAAACTGGTGGAAGAAAAACCAGAGATGAGAGGGGAAATCAATAGTGGGAGGAGGGAGGGGACAACATAGTGATTTTTTGTCATTTTAGACCACCCACTATGGGCAGCCTAATGAGTAGTATCATAAGTTAGTATCATGCATATGTTAGTGTACGATATCATCTTTGTAATGCATAGTATCATAGATTATTATCTTAGATGGTATTATTTATTGCCATGCAAGATACATACTAGTACATTATTTATTATGATACGGTATCAAGATATGATACTTAACCCTTTTTTTCTTCGTTTGCCTCACTAAAATTGTCTCTTTGACATACGTGATACTCTCATTACGAGCAACCTTGTCACATGCGTTTAAGACATAATATTTCCTTTCAATCAGTCGCATCCATATCTGAGCCCACAATCTTTCCTTTAAAAATCCAATCTTTTACCACAATCCTTCTTTCAAGCCCACAATCCATTCTTTAATTTGACAATCCATCTATTTTATCCTGCAAAAAAATCCATCTATTTATTGATTCCTTGGGGGGTGGGGGTATATTAACCGGTGCGAGTCGTTCCCGTCAAAGAAAAACTCGGTGCGAGCTGGTTAAAAAAATGGAGGTGGGACTAATCGACATCAAAATTTGTAGCTCCGTTGGTTGTTGTTGACGAGAGACTCGAAAGGTCCTGAGTTTGATCCCCACTGGTGACTTATTTTTCGTGGTCTGTAAAAAAGCACACTCTTTTTTTGCGGTCTCTAGTAAAGCTCAGTAGTTCTCTAAGAAAATAGGAAAAGCCCAGTACAGGCTGGTTACATACGAAAGGAAAGCCCAGTACCCAGCACAAGCTGGTTACGTACGAAAATAAAGGGACGCACAAAAAAGAGTACCACATTGGATAGAAAAATCTCAAAAATGTAATATAGATGAACGGACTAAAAAAAGGAAAAATGCACCTTGTTTTATTAGTAAAAAAAGTAGGTAAATAGATATGAATATATATTTTTGCGAGGAGGCGAAGGCCATATGTTAAAATTGCTCGTATGTACCATATATACTTACCAGTGTTGACAGTGGCAAACCCTAGTCTTGACCTTCAAATATATTTGACGCACCAGAACCAATCATGTCATCACTTATGATTCATTTGCAGTGACTAAATTCCAGCAATCATTTAATTACATCCCCTTAGTTACAATTGTGTCGCGGGAGATATAAGAAATCAAATTCATGTGTCTGTGGTTGTGCGCATCTACGCTGTGGAGTTGGGAGAAAAACTCTTTACTCCCTTTTTTGCATGGATTTCAACTGAAAATGTCCCTAGAATCTAATGGTGCACTGCACACATGTCAAAATAATTATTTGAATATTTGAAGAATAAACTCTACTCTCGAATAACCCCCCCACCCACCCACCCACCCACATACACACAAAAAAAACTCGACTCTCGATACACAGTGAACGTATTTTGCATGGATTTCAACTGAAAATGTCCCCGGAATCTAATGGTGCCCTGTACACATGTTAAAATAATTACTTGAATATTTGAATAATAATCTTTGGTTTACTACTACTACTCCCTCCATTTCATAATGTAGTGCATATAGATTTAAAAAAAATCAAACTTTGAGTACATTTATAAAGAAAACTATTTATATCTACAACACCAAAATGTATACAATATGAAAGTACATATTCTGATGTATCTAATGAAATGTATTTGTTATTCTAAATATATAATTTTTTTTCTCTACAAACTTGGTCAAACTTAGTATTTGACTTCTCAAAAATTTATACGCACTATATTATGGAATGGAGGGAGTACTAGTTAGTATATAGAAAACTGAGTGTAAAATCGATAAAACCTTAGTAGCACACCATCATGATTTTGATTTCAGTCCTCAGTTTACTCATGAGTATTAGTACACTATCAAGAACAAAAATCATGTCCCGCAAAAAATAAAATCATAAAGCTCATTCTGGACTAGCTGTAGCTCCTTGATTTGCTCGTCTATTTCAACCTGTTCAAGTTGAAATTTGACAAGGCTAATGGCAAATTATACTGTCCGGCCAGGCTCTCCAAAACAGAAGGATAATTATCAGTTTATGCATGTTAAATTGTACGTATAAAAAAATTCTTTCAACTGACAATCGAAATCAAAGTATTAGTTTACTTGTTTTTCCAGGCTAATAAAGAGCACCATAGAAGTTTAGACCAAGATCGATAGCTCAGGCACTCGAGCTTCCTAGCGTGGCGGGACCTCGGGAAGTGATGCTTTTTGTATCAGTGGAGATGCGGCATCCACTAGCTGAAGTAACATTACAGGTAGGCTCAGCCGCAAAAAATAAAATTACAGGTAGGCTATGTCTGTTTACCATGATATCATTATGTGTATGCATATGGCAAATCACCTCAGTGACAGACGGTGGTTATAAATACTAATCAAACATGAGCTAGCCTGGCCGAATGACAATGGTACTATGATCTCTTGCTCGAACACAACATGTTTTCTGGACTGCAAATCTGATATACCTTCCTTTCATAATTTAGAGGTAGCAAGTTCCAGCTAGAAGTTAAAGGCCATCTGCTGTGTTAGGGAACCTCATGAAAATGATGCACTCGTCACCAAAGGAAAAATAATACTCATGGTTTCGCTTCCTGACACACCCAGGCCTCAAGGCAGAGAGGGAAATGACTGGCATTCATCGCAGTCGGGAAACCCAAATTTTCCTGTTGCACCACCCGAAACAACATCACCAGTATTCAGTAGTAACCAATCAGCAAAGAGTGGACACGATTCCACACACAACTGAAGAACCTGAAGATCAACCTGGCAACTTTCTCGGCCCTGAGAAGCGGCACAGAAGCAGACATCCTGATGCAGTCCGTGGGCTCATGGCTTTACAGGACCAGGACATGCGAAAGCTAAAAACCATTCCTGCAGCTATCTATCAGGACAAACTAGGAAGTGTAACTTTATTGAAGGAGAGGAAGCTGACACGCCCATTAACAACTTGACAGAATTTAAGAGGAATGCCGTCAAACTTGTTCTCCACCGTTTCCAGTTCATCCCTTGAAGGTGGCTTGTCTCTGCGCCAAATCCAACAAAAAAAAAGGTTATGGCCAGAAATATCGATCGGCAGGTTGTATGAAATCAACTGAAAATTGTTGAGCCCAAATTCATATATTGTGATCATTTTTGTATCTTCTTACATAGTACTTCTAGAGCTTCTATTTAAGTTCTTCTGTTCTGCTATTTATGGCTTTATGCATCTCATTGCTACCTACTGTTGCTTAGAATCGGGTTTATAGTCGGCCAAGAAAAGAACTTGTGACAAGTCACAACTGATGGACACATAATAAGCATATAATATAGGAATCAATGTTTGATTGCAAGACAGAGTTCAGGCGTTCAGCTGACTATAACTATGCTTAGTAACAAAAAAAATCCATCACCTTTGTTATTAGGCTTAACAGACTTAAATTACTTGCATTTATATAGCTCAGACATGATAACCACTCAGGTACAATAGAACAGATAAATTAAATCTATGTTCACAGAAAGACAGTTAACAACATAGAAAATATATCCATGTGCAAAGAGAGCCAATAGCACATCACAGGCACATCCTGCGTGCCTAAATATACCAAAGTTTCAGAATATAAAACTGAAAGGGGAAATCATACATTTCAAACGAGATAACTAATCATATCAAACACATGACCAAAAAATTAAGCGCGTGTGTGAAGAGATAACCAGGGAATGGATTGCTGTAAATGAAAATGCCGCACAAGTTTCAAAGCGTGGATCCATGATCTGCAAGTGTGGCAGGAAGAGAAACCTTAACAGACATACAAGAGAACTAGGGACTCCTGGGGACGACTTCTTAAATTTGCTATTTGGTAGATGCACTTTAAAGGATGGATACATCCCATCTATGTGCATTCCTTCGAGCAATTTGGTAATGTCATTGCAGGCACCATTGGCTTTACCAAAGCTCTGGCTTGTGCCATCCATACTCACGGGGGAATTGGTGACATCACCAGAACGGATTTGCTTCATTGTCCAGGGAATGTCATACCGTCCAACAATGTAGCCAAGCAACTTCAAGTGCCTGTAAGCTTGGAAGGCATCCCAGGAGCACCCATAACTTCCTGTTGCAATCTTTCCATAGATATCCTCCATTCCAACTGTTTCATCCTTGTCATCAAGAAGAACCAATGCCCCTCTTTCTGCCAAGAACCTGCGTAGTTTGATCATGCAACAAGACTTAAACTGCAAGTCGGAGTATTTGAAAACAAAAACCATGACATGTGATTCATGCATAATCTCCAAGCAATGATGTTGCACTGGTGCACTATTTTGAGTGCGACATGATGTAACTAGTAAAAAAAGTAGGTAATAGTCATGCGGTTTCAAATACAAGGAATCCAGGGCATGCTGCAATGTTACAGCATTTCATCAAACAGGTGGCGTACCCGATCTC